CCCTCCCTCCCTCGCTCACACATAACGAGTATGGCAGTCCATTCTCCCTGCAGCATGGACTACACTGCCCATGAGGCTACATTCTTTAGGGCTATGCCTGTAACACTCTGCCAATTGCCTTCATATTAAATCATTTTTGTGAATAATTTTAAAAAATATTTCGTCACGTCATTATGCTCACCGCAAGTAGAGGTGACGTGGGCCGCAAGATTGAGACACAGGCATTAGAGCCTCTTGATGCGTGTTTTGTTTGGGGCGTGGAAACCAAAAATAGAGATGGCATAGCCAAACACATGAAACAGGAAAATACCGCCGTGTAATCCATTTATTTCAGCAAAGTAACTGTATTCTGAATACCAACTTTTTAAACGGTAACTGTAACGGAATACAGTTACTCATATTTTGTATTTTAAATAGGTAATGGCGGTACATGTGTTCCGTTACTCCCCAACACTGCTTAGTGAGCTCAAACCAATTTTATGTGGTACACAGTGGTCAAAAATTTGTCAAAAAATGTTGGTAAGCTACAAAGCCACACAGCTTGATGGATTATTAGAGCATTACGGCTGCCGTAGTCAGGAGTCTCGCGGAGGAATCTGGGTCCAAAACTCTGTCCGCTTCAGGTCGCAAAGCCAAATTAACACTGCGGCACACTGAGAGTTAAAAACTGTCTACCTTCTTCCAACTTTAATAAAATGATCAGTGTTGCTGCTTTACCAGGTGTAACTATGAAGTTTGACATCCAGACATCCATGAAAACAGAATTTATTAAATTTAACAGAGCTAGAAGTTAACAGGAAGTTAGCTCGCTAGTTTCCATCTAAATCAGTGGTTCTCAACCTTTTCACCTCATAAAATATATGGCTCTTGACTGACGTTAAAGTACAGTAGAATAGGCCTATTTAACACCACATTCAGTTTACAAAGACAATTTAATTTCTTATATGAATGTTATTTATTTTAACTGTCATAAACAGGATGTGACAAACTGTACTGCATTAAAACATTCACAGCAGGTGGGATATCCAATCTTTAAGTGATGGCCTGATACAGCATCTTTACAGCATCCTGCCATGTGATTACATTTGTCTCTAACCATTGGGAACCATCATCGAGTGGAAAAAAGTTAGTGTTCTTCCTCCAGCGTCACTGTGTTTATATTATGCTAACCATAGCTGTGTAGCTAGCCACCATGCAGCACATCATTATATACCAGCTAGCCCAACTTCAGTAACCCTACAAACGCCACTGTG